CCCTCTCGCCATCGCCATCTCCCGTACTGGCCTCTGTCAGCCTGCAGCGATTCGCGCCTGCGGCGATACGCGGGCGGCGATTCACGCCTGCGGCGAGCTGCCTGAGCTTCCCGAGCGCGGGCCGGCAATCACGACCGATCGTGCAGAGGTGGAGAGCGTGCGTCGTGTGTGGGCGCTCATATTCAACCCGCGCAGCGATAACGAGGGCATCTACAGCCGCAGCAGCGGCAGCTCCGAGCTAGTTCTCTGCTTTGAGGACGAGGAGGGTGCCGAGCGGTATGCAACACTGCTCGCGGCGCAGGACTTCCCGGAGGCGACGCGGGTGGCGATGGACACTTCGACGCTCCTCGAATTTTGCGACGAGGGAGGCTTCTCCCTCGGCCTCGTCCGCAGCGGGAAGGTTGTGCTGCCACCCGAGGCAAACGTAGGAACGTTTGCGTGGTCCCCGGGTGCGAGCGAGGAGGGTGCGGCGCTGGGCGAGGAGGACCCGAGTGTAGATGAGTCGAGGCGGGCCCTGGAGAGGCTATTTTCGCAGAGCTCCGACGACGGGCAGTCGGAGGGCGGACCCGCTGAGTGAGTGAGTTTCAGTGAGTGCAGTAGTGCAGAGACCATCTCACGCAGGCCACAGCGAGGGCTCAGGCCTCAGGGGGGAGCTTTCGAACCTTATCCTTGAGTAGTCTGTGCTTAAATATAGCGTAGTTTCAGCGGCTCATACTTTTACCCATCTCACAGTAGAGAGGTGTCCGTACTTTTTATTTAATATTTATTTATTTATCATACTTTTAATTGCCACCGCGGCGGTGTCTCGCTCCCTCGCTCGATAGTGTGCGCGTGGCCCGCGTGCCGGCGCAAAAACGCGGTGCGGCGAGGATCGTGGCGCCGTGCACCTCTCTCCCCCCCCTCCCTCCCCTTTTGCGTTCCCGCCGCGCGAGACGGAGTGCGGCGCTCTCCCACGCGCGCCTCTCCGCCGCCAGCTCTCCGCCGCCAGCTCACAGACCCGCCACCATGTCGGACGGCATCGGC